AATGAGATAGAAAAAATAGAAAACACACGAATATCGTCTAAATTCATCAACCCAGCTAAAGAGTGTATACATTTTTTGCAGCTTATAAGATCTCTGCCGATTCAAATAAGAAAATACCTAAACAAATTCTTCAATCGCAAAATTCTAGAATTTTAAGTCTTTAGTTATGCTTGGAATTGTGAAGAGCATAGAATATAGAGAAAACTATAGCATGGTATTATATCTATAAAAAATAGATGGTAGACTAATGTTGAAGCTTGAATTTAAAAGACTGATCGTTGAGCAGGATTTATATGTGCTTATGTGTTTTGGTTATCAGAAACCAAGAATGAGGAAATGTTCCATAACTTAAATATGAAAACATTGAAAATGCTGTTCTGACACTTTTCATTAAGTTTTATCTAAACCAAAATAGTTTTGCGTTTCGCAGAGTATATAAAAGTGGGAAATCCAATCGAGTAAACCAACTAATTTCAATACTAAAAGCCAAGTTCAACATGGGAAACATACGATCCTGTACTGTTATTTTTTGTCTGTTGCTCAGCACTGGATGTAAGTTTTAGTAAAATGGTGCAAATCAAATTTGAAATATATCTATAAACGTTTAATATGGCTTTTAAAGTGATCATTGATAGCATCAGCTTAGAGCATAAACCACAAAAAAGTACAAAATTATTCGGCGTAGCTATACCAAATGACACAAATACATTGTCAAGACAATCGGTTTCAGGTACGTCAACAGGCTCGTCAACAAACCTTTTCAAATATTTAAACACAGAGTCGTCAACAGGATCGTCAACAGGGTCGTCAACAGGATCGTCAACAGGATCGTCAGGATCGTCAACTGAATCATCGACAACAGAATCATCTTCAACAGGATCGTCAACAGGATCGTCAACAGGATCGTCCACAGGATCGTCAACAGGATCGTCAACAGGATCGTCCACAGGATCGTCAACAGGATCGTCAACAGGATCGTCAACAGGATCGTCAACAGGATCGTCCACAGGATCGTCAACAGGATCGTCAACAGGATCGTCCACAGGATCGTCAACAGGATCGTCAACAGGATCGTCAACAGGATCGTCCACAGGATCGTCAACAGGATCGTCAACAGGATCGTCAACAGGATCGTCAACAGGATCGTCAACAGGATCGTCAACAGGATCGTCAGCAGAATCATCGTCTACAGGATCGTCAGTAGAATCATCGACAACAGTATCGAAAACAGCATCGACAGCAAAATCAACAACAACATCAGCAACAACATCCTCAACAACATCAACAAAAACGTCACCAACAACATCACCAACGAAATCTACAACAACATCGAAAGGATCACCAATCATATCGTCAACACCATTGACCCCAAATAAGGTAAGACTTGTGGATTGCCAAGGTCCAAAATAAAATAACCCAGGGGTTTTACAGGATAATATTGAGAGGGAAAACGAAAAGATAAATCTCAAGATTCGGCACACTTTAGAGATATCCAAAACAGGACATTTTATTGGCAATTCGGAATTCGATCAGCAAACTGCTCTTTTACGGAACGCAGCAGATCTGGACTCAAGTTTCTTGCAGTTGAAAATGCAAGCTTATCATAATTTTTTGAGTTATAATTACTTCAGACTCAAACTGGAAGCTGATCTGACCAGCCGAATCGATGTCGTCGATAGCTTATTGTTGGATGCAAAGCTTGGCAAGCAGTGCAAAGATTTCTATCGCAACCAAAAAAAGGAATTGCGGATTGCCCTCAATGAACCAAATGCTTTAAAGTCGTACAAACTGAAGTTGCTTACTGAAGATTGCCCCCATAAGGAGTCTCAAGATAGCTGGGAATCTGAGGAAGATACTGAAATCTGTTGTCTCTGGCCTCATATATTTCCCCTCAATCGAATGAAGTTAAATGAAAATAATTTACAAATGCCAGAAAGGAAATCTATCAAAGTACTTGAATGACTTTCTAATAAAATATATTTAACAAGTAAGAGGTTCTAATCGGGAGCTCCCGACTAGGGGATACCCTGAACCCTTCTTCCAACATCAAATGCATATATATATTCTATTTTAGAAGCTATATGTCAAGTTTAGTGACTCTAGCTCCTATTATTTACCAAAATTGCCCAAAAAACAGGATATCGATATCGACTCTTATCGATTGCTTGGAAACGGAGTAAGTTATCGACTATCGGAAACAAACTCGATCTGCGCGGGAACCAGGAGCATCTTCATCTAAAATTTCTCTAGCTCTTACAGGTTCTGAGATCCTTGCGTTCAAACATACGGACGGACGGACGGACGGACGGACGGACGGACGGACGGACGGACAGACAGACGGATATGGCTAGATTGACTTATTTATACTGATCAATAATATATATACTTTATGGGGTCGGAGTTGCTTCCTTCTGCCTGTTACATACCTTTGGCTTTCGCACAAATACAATATACCCTTATACCCATTTTTAATGGGTTCAGGGTATAAAAAGCTAAACTTCGTGAAAATCGGATGGATTTGGCCGAGATATGGGGGTGGTACATTTTGACCCATGTCTATATACGAATCTTGGGGTAAGATTTGGACATGAGTTTCGACTAAAAAATCGGTGTTCAGATTTGAATGCCAGATTAATCTAGAGGGAAAACCATGAAGAAAAAGCCAAACTTCGTGAAAATCGGATGAGATTTGACCGAGTTATGAGGGTGGTAAATTTTGACCCATGTCTATATACGAATCTTGGGGTAAGATTTGGACATGAATTTCGACTAAAAAATCGGTGTCGAGATTTGAATGCCACATTAATCTAAAGGGAAAACCATGAAGAAAAAGCCAAACTTCGTGAAAATCGGATGAGATTTGGCCGAGTTATGGGGGTGGTAAATTTTGACCCATGTCTATATACGAATCTTGGGGTAAGATCTATATACGAATCTTGGGGTAAGATTTGGACATGAATTTCGAAAAAAAAATCGGTGTTCAGAATTGAATTCCAGATTAATCTAGAGGGAAAACCGTGAAGAAAAAGCCAAACTTCGTGGAAATCGGATGAGATTTGACCGAGTTATGGGGGTGGTAAATTTTGACCCATGTCTATATACAAATCTTGGGGTAAGATTTGGACATGAATTTCGACTAAAAAATCGGTGTTCAGATTTGAATGCCACATTAATCTAGAGGGAAAACCATGAAGAAAAAGCCAAACTTCGTGAAAATCGGATGAGATTTGGCCGAGATATGGGGGTGGTAAATTTTGACCCATGTCTATATACGAATCTTGGGATAAGATTTGGACATGAATTTCGACTAAAAAATCGGTGTTCAGATTTGAATGCCACATTAATCTAGAGGGAAAACCATGAAGAAAAAGCCAAACTTCGTGAAAATCGGATGAGATTTGGCCGAGATATGGGGGTGGTAAATTTTGACCCATGTCTATATACGAATCTTGGGGTAAGATTTGGACATGCATTTCGACTAAAAAATCGGTGTTCAGATTTGAATGCCACATTATTCAAGAGGGAAAACCATGAAAAAAAAGCCAAACTTCGTGAAAATCTGATGAGATTTGACCGAGTTATGAGGGTGGTAAATTTTGACCCATGTCTATATACAAATCTTGGGGTAAGATTTGGACATGAATTTCGACTAAAAAATCGGTGTTCAGATTTGAATGCCACATTAATCTAGAGGGAAAACCATGAAGAAAAAGCCAAACTTCGTGAAAATCGGATGAGATTTGGCCGAGATATGGGGGTGGTAAATTTTGACCCATGTCTATATACGAATCTTGGGATAAGATTTGGACATGAATTTCGACTAAAAAATCGGTGTTCAGATTTGAATGCCACATTAATCTAGAGGGAAACCCATGAAGAAAAAGCCAAACTTCGTGAAAATCGGATGAGATTTGGCCGAGATATGGGGGTGGTAAATTTTGACCCATGTCTATACACGAATCTTGGGGTAAGATTTGGACATGCATTTCGACTAAAAAATCGGTGTTCAGATTTGAATGCCAGATTAATCAAGAGGGAAAACCATGAAGATTAATCAAGAGGGAAAACCAAACTTCGTGAAAATCTGATGAGATTTGACCGAGTTATGAGGGTGGTAAATTTTGACCCATGTCCATATACGAATCTTGGGGTAAGATTTGGACATGAATTTCGACTAAAAAATCGGTGTTCAGATTTGAATGCCAGATTAATTAAGAGGGAAAACCATGAAGAAAAAGCCAAACCTCGTGAAAATCGGATGAGATTTAACCGAGTTATGGGAGTGGTAATTTTTGACCCATGTCTATATACGAATCTTGGGGTAAGATTTGGACATGAATTTCGACTAAAAAATCGGTGTTCAGATTTGAATGCCAGATTAATCTAGAGGGGAAAACCATGAAGAAAAATCCTCATTCATATATATATTCTATATATATATATATCTACATTTAGAAGCTATATGTCAAGTTTGGTGACTCTAGCTCTTATTATTTACCAAAATTGCCCAAAAAGCAGGATATCGATATCGATTTTCACGATTGCTTGGAAACGGAGTAAGTTATCGATTATCGGAAACAAACTCGATCTGCGCGGGAACTAGGAGCATCTAATTTCAAGTATCTAGCTCTTATAGGTTCTGAGATCCTTGTGTTCATACATACGGACAGACGGACGGACGGACAGACAGACGGACATGGCTAGATCGACAGGGTATAAAAATATATATGCACCTTTAAACCCTTTTTTTATGGAAATATTCTGCATTCTGCATATGCAAATTTGTTCAAACATTTTTAACAAAAATGAATGTTTGATATAAAGTGCACTTGTATCTAATATTATCAATATCTAATTATAAATATAATAATATCTACTCAAATATACCGAAATTATTAAACATCGAAGACATTTTTTGTTCTTTTCCAGATCATCAGGATGACGTATAGAAAAAACCCTTAAAACTAACTGAGTAAGTTTTTCATATTTGTGATTATTTAAAGCCCAAAATGGCTAGACTGAAAAAAATTCCCTGAATAGCAACATACAATCATTAGAATGGATTTTCAAAATGTCGTCAATCTTTAATCTGTTACTTAAGCTTTCTTTTGGGTCATAAGCGCGCTCTAAGATGGGGAAACTTCTACGGATTCTCTTGTTTATTAAATTTGATATTGACAAGAAGAGGAGATTTTTTGAATGGTGTGCGCAGTGTGAATCGTATAGAAGGGCGATGAACAGTAGGTTAAAAATTGTTTTTACCAATTATAGACACTTAAATTTGATGAAAATGTATTTGTTTAATTCAAGTAGACCCTTCTTATATTTAATACGAATACCTTCTAAAAGAACCTAGAAAATGCAATATTCCGTAAATTATGTTCTCTGGTGACACTTGGGCGAACATAAAAAGTAAATACCAAAGCAATGTTCAGCAACGACAAGCCCAATGCGGGTCAATGGTTAGAATTGGATGCCTTGGAAACTCCATAAATGTCGATTCATAACTCAAGCTTATCGGGGAGCTGTGCACGCTTTAAAAGGCAGTCGACGCAGATCATCTGCCATTAGTTAAAGTTAGCAGTTTGCAGTCATGTCAACAGCGATCAAAGCGCTAGCATTGCTACTGATGCTGATGCAGTGCATCCGTGGAGAGTCCTTGCTGCCCATGCAGCAGCTCTTGCGGCTGGACAACATAGTTACGGACAGGATCAACGGCATGCTGAAGCAATACGAGCATTTGAGAAATCAAACGGAAAATGAAGAATTCCTACGGCAATATGAACGCCTCGAAATGGCGGCTGCTCTGCCCATCGCCCAGCTGGATGAAAAGATTAAGGCCTACAATGAATATCTCGCCTACGACCTGTTAAGCCGCGCACTGGAGCTGGCAGGCAGCTCGACCGACTCGAGCTCCGATCAGGATCTGCTACGCGATACCAATGTGGATGGAACACGCGCCAAATCGTATAACGCCTTCGAGAAACGGGTGCTCAAACTTTTGAGAAAACTGGGTGTCTATGATTCATTTACGGAGCGCGTCTTTAAAGCCATATTCAGCGATGAGAAACAACTCAAGAAGTTAAAGAAAAAACTCAAGGAACTGGACGATGACGACAACGACAATGACTGTTGCTTGTGGGATTTCATATTTGGTTTATTCTAGAGTTTTGGGCAAACCTATTTTTATGTACTTCAATCTTGTTACCAGTAAATTTATAATGAAACAACTTTAAAAGAATACGTTCTTTACATACAGTAGTTTTTTAGCCAATAATAAATGTGAAAGGGACAAATATGCGATGAACCAAAAAGTGGGCGAATAGATGCAAGTTTATTAAGAATTATTGTATTATGCAAAAAAAAAAAATTGCATTTTGAGCTTAACTGATTTTTAGTAAATATATAATTCGTCTGGGTTAGCTCGGTTAGCACCAGATATCTATCTGGCTTGACTTAAGGCTCTATTCAATTTAATCTCTCTAAAGGTTCCGTTGGTTTTTATTTTTGGTCCTGGCTCGAGTGTTATGTGAGTCGCTTGACTTAGTGACTGCAGTAAGTGATTTACATGCGAGCTCCAGCAATTGACAGCTCGTTATGGTGATGAGAGGGCGGTTCACGGCTCGCGGCTCACGTTGCACTCTGGCAAAACAAACAAAGTGCATTTAAACGTGCCGGCAGCCATCGACCATCTAGCCCAGCAACATATAACATACTGCAATCCACTTAGGCTGTCTGTTGCATCGGGCTGTGGCAGGCGGCAGGGAGCATGGGGCAAGGGGCAGCTGCAACGGCAACGGCAGCGGCAGCGGCATCGATCGAAGGGCCGGTCCCATCGACTGAACCGGGCCACATTTCACTATCGTGCGCGTTGAAACAAAAAGTGTTGGCGTGCTGCTGCATCCTGGGCTCAGATCAGCTCTTGGTCAGAGTCAGACTCACAGTCACAGAGTCAGAGTCGGAGTCGAAGTCGGAGTCAGAGCAGATGCAATCGCCAGACAGTTGCCCACTCAGCATGGACGTTGCTCTTCCTCTACTTCTTTCTCTGGCTGTTGTTGTTGTCGTTTATCAGACAATGTCGCGTTTGCAGACAGTTTGAAGTTTAACAAGTTGTCGAACGCAGAGTGCGGGGTTTATTTGTTTTACGTCCTTTTCTCGTTGTTGTTAGCCGGCTTTATAAATAGCCAGAGACTCGGCCATTGCAGATCTCTATAATACCTATCTCTAGCTGTGTGTTTGAGTGTCTGAACGCTGATCAAAGGTCATGCAAGGCCTCAGTTTCCGTTTCAGCTCTCAGATCTTCTACTCGTTTTGCTATTCCCAATACAAACTGGGCACAAATATTATATTTGTGTATACGTATATTTATATCAATTATATTTACGCTCTCATATCATAATCGGGTCATCTTTCTTCTCTTATTTTCTCTTTCGCTTCTTAAAGCTACACTGGCGCTGTGGGGGATTATGGCCAAATTGGCGTCAGAAACCAATTTGGTTAAGCAAAACGAGGTAAAGCGACTTTCATTGATTGCCATTTGGCTGAGATAAGAAATACATATATTGCTGTTATAGAAACGATCGGACAAAAATGTAGCGCCTATTTGAAATTTACTAGTTTCCCTGCACGTATCCTTCTTTTGCCTAACTGACCGAGTCACCTAGGCAAACCATCTACAAAGAAATGTATGTGAGGAGAAATGTTTCTCACCCGTGTCCTTAGTTTGCAATAGAATCGTGCTGCAGTCCACAGCAGCCCACAAACTAGTTGAGTATCCATCCACATTTGTAATCTCTGCTGTTGCTACTGTTGCTGCTGCGCTGCTGCTGCCGCGGCTCTGATTGCGATAAATCATTGAATGGCGCATTAAAGTGGAGCGTTGACATGTGAGCTGAAAGCTGAGAGCTGACAGAGGGAACAGCAGCAGCAGCAAACGGGGTAAAAAGAAAAATGCGCACAACACGGAATTAATGTCAATAGCATTAGAAGATTGACGACAACAACAACTGGCAACGATCATGGATCTTTCCAACAAACTATCTATCTATCCACAGAAAGAGAGAGAGAGAGACGGCATAGAAATTGTCAGCGAAAACGGCAATGACAAACTTCTGACAATTAAAAATAAAAAGAAATAACTTTGCTCTGCGCTCTGTGGGCCCAGCTATAGGCCCCAAAGGGGGGCTGATGATTATGAAAATCGATAGTTAGCCCGTCCACATTTCAACTCTTTTCAACTGTCTGTCTGTCTGTCTGTCTATTCGGGCTGTCTGCTTGCCATTGACATGTGGTATTTAGGCCCTGATGCTATAATTGCGCATCAAAAAGCTATCATAAAGTGCACTATAAAAGGGCGTGGCCCAGGACTAGCAAGACCAGGTCTCGCCATGCAGTACAGCCTGCTGTTTCGCCTGTTTCTAATGGTCTGCCCGCTGGGCCCGACCTGGGCCAAGCTTAGCTACATTCCGTGCAACGAATCCGATGTGGCAATAGGTAATCAGGCGTCGTCACTTTCCAGTCCAATTAATTTAATTCAATTTAATTCAATTCAATTCAATTTTGAATCAAAATGCAGCCCTCTCGCAGATCATCAATGGGCTGCAGCCACGTCAGCTGGCCATATTGGTTATGCCCAGCTCGCGACTGTTTGGTGCGGATTGCGTGAATGATGACACCATCCAAGTGGACGAGTTTATTCAGCGATTGCATAGGCTCTACTACAAGTCAGTCATCTTTTATGACACGGAGCTGTTCTTTGATTACATCGAAGCCAATCTGCTGGGCGCCATCGAATGCGTCAATTTGATATTCCACGAACCAGATGAGCTATCGGCGCGCATACAGGAACGGCGACTTGCCCATCGGCTCAGCCTCTTCATCTTCTATTGGGGCGCCAGACAGCCGCCTAATGCGACGCGTGTGAGCTTCGAGGAGCCAATGCGAGCGGTGGTCATCACAAGGCCGCGTCGCAAGGCGTTTCGCATCTATTACAATCAGGCGTTGCCCACGGGCACCAGCCAGCTGCGTTTGGTCAACTGGTATGATGGCGACAACCTGGGCCTGCAGAAGACCCCCCTCCTGCCCAGCGCCGCCACGGTCTATGCCAATTTAGATGGTCGCGTTTTTCGTGTACCCGTTTTTCATGTGAGCAACAAAAATGAGTCAATTAATCAATTAAATACCTTGAAATTTTGACTAAGATCGATGCAAAATATATTTTATGTTGTCGCCTGTCGCCTCTTGAACTTCCAAAGCGAGAGTTTGGCGACATCACAGTATTTTTTTTCAGAGCTCTTCAAAAAGTGTTCGTGTCTTCTAGAAGAAATGATTTCCTATCTCTTTTTGGAAAATAGAACAACGCCAGCAAGGCGCTATTATTAGCGGCAGAATCCTTTTATCCACGATAAAAAATATATCAATATATAACTTTGAGTTAATAGCATTTTCTTACATTCAGTCCCCGCCCTGGTTCTGGGTCAGCTACAACAATGATAGCAACAATGTTGGCAACAGCAGCGAGGATCCTTTGGATGAGTACGAGAATCTCGAGTATAATGAGGTGAACGTGACGGGTGGACGTGATCATCGATTGTTGATGTTGTTGGCGCAGCATATGAACTTTCAATTTATGTACATTGAAGCGCCAGGCAGGACACAAGGATCTTTGCGAGCACCGGATGACAGTGGGGAGTCCAACGATAGCTTCACTGGCGGCATTGGCATGCTCCAAAGTGGCGTACGTAGCGACAGATACCTGAAATAAGAATAATAATAATAACCATTAATAATAATATTATTATTATCATGTTATGTTATGTACAGAGTACAGGGTATTCTCTAGACGGGCACGCTTGACGCTTGGCACTCTTGGTTTCCTTGACTCATTGACATTTGTCTTTGCTTACAGCTGGCGGACTTCTTTATGGGCGATGTGGGCCTCAGCTGGGAGCGTCGCAAGGCAATTGAGTTCTCATTTTTCACTCTCGCCGATTCGGGCGCCTTTGCCACACATGCGCCACGTCGCCTCAACGAGGCCTTGGCCATAATGCGTCCCTTTAAGCTGGATATATGGCCATATCTCATCCTGACAATTGTGTTCTCCGGTCCAATATTCTATGGCATTATTGCCATGCCCTTCAAGTGGCGCAGGCGTCAGCTCGCCGTAGACGTGGAGCACCTGGGTGAGCTTTGCGTTTATATGGCCTACATAAAGGAGATAACGCCCTGTGTGCTGAAGATAACACACACGCGACGCCCGCAGGCAGCGCCGCAGATGCCGCCACAGCTTTTGCAGCGCTGTATTTGGTTTACTCTACGACTGTTCCTCAAGCAATGTGAGTGATTCCTGGTTCTATGGAAATCCTTGGAACTCATTTATTGCTCGTACGCAGCTTGCCATGAGTTGTACCACGACTATCGCACCAAGTTCTTGACCATTGTCTATTGGGTAGCTGCCACATATGTCCTGGCCGATGTCTACTCTGCCCAGCTGACCTCGCAGTTTGCGCGTCCAGCTCACGAGGCGCCCATCAATACACTGCAGCGCCTCCAGGCTGCCATGCTGCGGGATGGCTATCGCTTGTATGTGGAAAAGGAGAGCAGTTCGCTGGAGATGCTAGAGAATGGTACAGAACTGTTTCGTCAATTGTATGCGCAAATGCGTCAACAGCAGCCGGACGATCACCTGGCCTTTCTCATTGATTCCGTGGAATCGGGCATCAAGCTGATAGCCGATGGCAGGGAGAACAAGGCGGTGCTGGCCGGACGTGAGACGCTCTACTTTAATATACAGCAGTACGGGGCCAAGAACTTTCAGCTGAGCCAGAAGTTGTACACACGCTATTCCGCGGTGGCCGTCCAGATCGGCTGCCCCTTCTTGGACAGCCTCAATGATGTGTAGGTAGCACTTGGTATGGGTAAACTCATAATAGTGGAGCATACTTTCTTCTAGTTTGATGCATCTGTTTGAAGGCGGCATTTTGGAAAAGATGACAACCGCTGAATACGAGGCGCAATCGCGCAAAATGACCAAGGATCAATCGCAGCAATCGATGGAGCTGGCTGCCGTTGAGAATGCCAATGCAAATGCCAATACTAAGAGCACCGAGACCAAGACCCAGCCCCAGCACGCACAGGACAACGAGATGATCAGCGCATTAAACTTGCGCATGCTGCAAGGCGCCTTCATTGCCCTCGGCGTGGGCTTCTTCACAGCAGGTCAGTGGGTCAAACTTTGAAATATGAATTATGATTATACAACTCCATTTGCGTTTAGCTCTAATGCTCTTGCTGGAGCTCTTCTGTCGACGCCTGAATCTGGCGCTGCCGCTGCGCCGCTGCCGTCTCCGCTGGCTGCGTCGCTGGCGACGCTTCAAGCGGATGGCGCGTCACCAAACCGTGCGAATCTTTGCACCGAATTTGGGTTGACTACTTTACCGCATCGCTCTTTTATGCAAATCATTAACAATGCAAATATGTTTCTAGCTCAAACAGTGGAGCCGACAGATTAGAATATATGTATACGGGTGCAATAAGGAAGCATATTCCTACATAGCTTATTCCGTACACTTATATATCTTTGGGGTGATTTAAAGATTTAATTTGTTTTCTTCTCAATTAAATGGTTTAATTCACATTTTAAAGGGGTCTTTTATCATGTACAATACTAACTTTTGTGAAGTCAAAATCTTTGGGCTTATGAGGTCATTTAATATTAAAATACTTATCAAAAATACACAGCATAAGAATTTGCAGAATCTTCTATCGGAAAATGAAAGTCAGATTTTTATTTTTAATTAAATATAGCCAGTTCCTTATTTGAAGCTTTTCACATCCCGTTCAAAACTAAAGTGATTTTTAGAAATATTTTCCCAAGATTTGCATTTTTATTGTGCAGCAATGTTCATTCTTAGACATAATTCGCATCGCTTGGAAATGCTTTCGTGTTTAACCTAGTTCCACTGTGCTTGGCGGACTCCCTCGTCCGCCGTCGACAGCTTTGTTTGTCTTTGGCATAATTAATGTGCTTGGCCAGAAGACAAGCGGGGCTGCATGTTATAATTAATTTGTTGCTCAAATTGGATGCGGGCGCAGCTGCCGTCGCCTTTTGCTGCTGATGTATCTCTACAAGCTTGTGTCTTAAGTCGTTTGTTTATTTTAGTTTTTTTTTTTTTTTTGCCCAGTGTGGCCCAATTTCCCAACATAATTTTCGTAATAATTTCCCATTTCCTTTCATAACTAAATCCAAACAAACAAAGACCCAGACACAGAAGCGACAAAAACAAATTTGCCCAGTATCTGCCAGAGAGCGTAAACATTTTGTTGTTCCGTTGCCCTTAAAACATAAAACGGTTTACGATTTTCTTGTCGTAATTAAGCAAAAAAAAAAAAAAAGACCAAAAATAAAATGAGGCACAAATTAAAACGTCTTCTTCTCGTCTCGGCTCCAAAAAATGCCTGACAGCCGGTCAAGAAATTGACTTTTACTTTGGCCCCACAAAAGACGAATTGCTGTGTTCATTGTAGAAAGTGGTTCTAGCCACTTTTCTGCTCCGACGGGTCGTTGCTCGTTGCTCGTTGGTCGTGCCCGATTCCTTGGGCCTGTTCCAACAACATTACCATGCGCTCTTCAAGTGTCATACGGCGCGAAAGTCAATTGCATGTTTGCTTAACGGCCATCAGCTGGATATTGTGCTCGTACTCAACGTATGTATATTGGTTTCTTCTCGGCTCGGTTTCAATTTCAAGAATCCCATATATCATTGTCGTCTGTCATCTTCAGTTCGGAGCGTGTGAGAGTTTTCAGTTTCGTTTGCGCTGACTCTTGCTTTTGGGGGTAAATTGAAGCTTTTGGCTGTGTTTTTTTTTTGGTGTTGTTGTTTTTGTTATGTTCGGCTGTGGCCTTAGAAAACGTAACGCCTTAGGGCGTACCTAGAGCCATTACTAATTATATAGTTTCTATTTTGCTTTCCAACGGAAATTTATACCCGGCCCAAAATGTGCTATAATAATATGCCCGATGCTCTGAAAAAAAGGGACCGATGCGAGCAGCGAAGGTTACAGCGGATCATGTTAGGTGCTATGTGAACTGGGCCCAGTTTATGGCCAAAGTGTTAAGCTTGAGCACAATTGTCTAAATCATCAATACACATAAGAATGATTCAGCATTGGCTGCTGGAACACTCGCAATCAAAGCGGATTTATGCTTCCGTTTACCATGTTAACTGTGTTAAATGCATGTTAATAGAGGAAGTCTTCAATGTTAGTTATTTCAATAAGGTCACCAGCTGAAATGGAAAAGCTTCTCTTGTAAATTTGTTAATGTTAGCAATAAACAGCATAAACAGAAGGCAATAATTCATGTGGAGCTCATTAGAGCCTTTTTGTCATACACCAGACTCGTAATTTTTGTAGTACTATATGGAATATTCTTTACCAACGTCCCACTAACGGTTTGGGCCTGGATTCTTATCGGTTTTGGTAATTTGCTTGCCTCAGTGCACAATTGGGGCACACAATCAGCTAACCTTAGGAGAGTCGTATACAAAATTTGCTTATGCGCAGCTCAAACGCTTCAGTAATTTGCACTTGGAAGAAACTTGAATGTGTGCCCATAAGAAAAAAGCCGCATACGCAATCTGCAAAGTCGTTTGTGGGTGAGCCACGTCGGCTGACATTGAGGCACTCCAGGTCAAGCCAGGTGGCAAAGAGTTGCTGCTTCCTGAATGGAAGCTTTCTAGGCGGACGGACCGCATGTGCAATATGATGGATGGCTTTTGAAGAGCGTTGCGAAAACAAACTTGGCCAAAAATTTAATGTGCCGTGAAATATTGCTAGCCATTTCCATTTTCACACAGAGACTGAGAGACTGAGAGAGAGAGAGAGAGAGAGAGAGAGAGAGAGAGAGAGAGAGACGTTAAGTAATAGGCCTAGAGTTGGCTGGGGACTCGCCAATGCTGCGTATGCTTAATCTGCAGTCCAAAGCTGCTGCAGTCCACCCATGGCTAATTGACTCTCGGCCTGCGGCGTCGGCGTCGGCATTCAAGCGTCAAATTAAATGAAAATGAACAAAATAACACTTGCAACTGCAATTTGGCTGATGCTAACGCTGATGCTGATGCTGATGCTGATGCACAATCCAGATCTGCAGCGAACGAAATGAAAAGTCATCATAATCAACAATTTTAAAATATTAGTTTGCACAAAATGCGCTGCGACGCCGACGGCCAATGATAGTGAACTTGATTTGGGGCCAATTTTCTCTTTCATTGGTGGCCACGGTGACCACCAGTACCTCTAGCCGGTTCCAGCTCCCAACGCATGCAAAAATGCCAATTAATGTTAGTGTGTATAAGTGTGTGTGTGTCTGTGTGTGTTGCACTGCAGGCCGGCATAGTTTTTTATGCACCCTGAATCCATTGAAAATATGTAGAAGGGGTATAATAATTTGATACAAAAGTATGTAACACAGATGAAGACTACTTTACCTTTTGGAGACCTCCACCCATTCTCTACACTTTTGTAGACTATATGTAAGCCCTTTAAATTAAGATTGAGCTATAAAAACCTAGGTTAATCAATAAAAACCTAGGTTAATCAATAATGCATTTCATAGGCACAGTAAACTGCCATGCGAAGAATACGCACAGCTACTTTACTAGATTACAGCTGATTGCAGGATATCTGCCAGTCGGGCAACATTAGCGCTCTTTCTTGTTTTTTCTGCAAAAGAATCTGCAGTCGTCGATAGAGCAATGGAGCATTGCTGCGATGAGGCGACGAATCGTCGATGCGATGGCAACCACTTTCTAATCTAACCCACAAGCTGCAATTGCCGTCGCCGTCGCCGTCGCGACTGACGGCGTCCACAATTTTTGGGCTCAGACTTTGGAGACTCTTGACTGGCTTTAGCTATTTTTAAAAGCGCACTTTTCATTTCTGTGTCGTTTCTGTATATCTTTTTTTTTTTTTTGGCGGATGCGCCATCGTTGTGTGCTGTGCTTGCCCACTTTCCCAGACTAAGTCTAAAATGCGGAAAAATAGCGAGAGTGAAAATTCGTTGCCGGCATAAATTAACTGTAAACTGTAAAATAAAAAAAAATTTAAAAAAATGAAAAGCGATTGCGAGAAGTCTCTTTTGCATGAACAAAAGTGAAAACTCGCCCAGCAATTGGGCTCTTAAACAATTCTTATTACCGAAATTCGCTCATTTGAATGCACTTTCAAGTTGAGATTATGTTGAACAGTTTTTGGGTCTATTACAACAGCCGAACGAAGCTAATGCCAAGTGAAAATTTCTCCACGCACTTGCGCCGATTTAGTTTGTTAGACAATTGCGTTGCTATTTTTATGGGCTTTTTGAAAGTGCTTACTACTTGTACAATCCGTACATAAAACGGCAAAACATATACGGCAGCACGCCATGAACTTAATTATACTAACAATTCGTGTTTGCCGACGTACGAAAAGTACATTAACAAATGGCCCACCGCAACATGCTGCTATGAATATGTTGAAATATTTCTTGAAAATTTTAACTTTAACGTACAAATTAATGCAATGATGTGCAACGAAGCGTGCAGCATGAAAATGTTTGGGCCAAGCAGAACGTTGAACCAAAAAATGAATTTGCAATCTAAGTACAAATGTATATGTACATCGTAGTAATTGTTGCTGTATGCTTAATTATCTCTACTGCTGTTGCGGCGAGCATGTTTTCTTCTTCTTGTTATTGTTGTTTAGCGTAGTTTTGCAAGCGCAACATCGTCTGCTGTCTAGTCTTTTGCGCTCCAAAAAGCTGCAACGGCCATTGTACAAAGCAATTAATTTGAGGCAAATGAATAAAATATAATGGAAATGAGCATTAGTTTGAAGGCTGCTGCTATTTCTGTGGCAGCGTTTGCTGCTGACCCAAATTCACCGTCAGCTTTTCCAAAATGCAATGTTGCAAATAATTTGAAAGTGTAATTTATGACGGCGACACGACGCTGGACTTGGACCTGGACCAGACAACGGCAGCCACTTAACAACTTTCAATGCACTGCATAGCGTAGGCGGCTTTAAGCTGGCTGTCTTTTGTTCGAACACCCGGTAGGTCTCTATTTACCATAGACCATACTGACATTTGTATGTGCCTCGCAATAAAAAATTAACATATACAATGAGAGTGAGCGCTGAGTGCAATTTCAAAATTTTGTTGGCGGGAAACTCACCTCTGTTTTGCCATTCGCGGCTTACACAGCCAAAAGACTGAAGTTTTCATGGTAGCATTATTCGGATTTAAGGCAGACTGCAAAGCGGTCACACTGTTTTCAGCCATGTGCGACATATTTTGTACA